CCGGGGCAGACCCAGGACTCGCTGGAGGGATTATATTTCTCGGCTAGCCTGAGAACGCCTTGGTATCCTCCCCGAGGAGCTGGTAGAGGTAGCTGGGGAGAGGGAGGTCTGGGTGCCTGTCCTGAAGCTGCACCCCCGCGACCCGAACCCCGGACAAGCGGCAGATGGATGGATGGATGGATGGATGGGACTGGAAGATTCTGCAAAAGTTGACCATGTACCCCGCATGTACCCCTGGCAAAATGACTGCCCCCAAAAAAAATCACCCATACATGCTAAAAAAGTTTAGCCTATTAGCCTCCTCCCACTCCCCCATGAATATCTTGGGCCCGGCAGATTTGTTCTGGTGCCGACACTGCATTATATCCCTCTGGGAAGGAGGGGTTAGACAGGAGTTTGCCTGCACTGGGATTAAGATGATAAACGCGTGCGATTTAGAGTTCCCGGCGGCTCTGGGAGTGTCCCTGCCTTTAGGTATAACCCTGCTCCCATTGGGGGCCCCACTGATGGAGTGCCGAGCCGCTCGACGTGCCAGTGGCAGCGCTCCGGATGTTTCATTAAAGGACCAGGGGGGCGGTCTGCGAAGGCAGTCTGTCAGAGTCCCGGGTCCCGGCCGTGCAGGGATGTTTCTGCTGCTTCAGCACTCGCCAGCAGTCCGGAGGTGTGAGCCAAGCAGAGTTACAGCAGTCCAGCAGATGGCGTAGCTGTTAAGGTCACGGTGCAAAGGCGGGACCCTGCTCTGGTGCCACCGAGGAAAACCCTTAAATGGAAATGCTCTATAAAACATCCAGCTGTATAAATGTTTAACTTAAAAAGCGCCCTTTACAAGAGAATCCACTAAGCAGCTGTGTACAGATGTCAAGGACTTGGACCAAAGACTGAAAGTCGCCTGAAGCTTTAAAGGGACTCAGCTGCGCAAAATGGTGGAGTCCCATTGGATGAAAGCTATTTAAAACAAAGATTTGCTATTTCTGTAGTCCTGCTGCAAATGACTGGTGGTTCTGTGCAGCTCAGTAACACCATTCTTTGTTGGAGTTTGGGTTCTCATGTTTTGAGTAACGCTGTCTTCTATTGGAGGAAAGTGTGGTCAGTGGGTGGGGCTCGTGGGGGCATGAAAGAGAAAATGTCAGCCATTCATTAAACTATTGAAGTGGAATATATTGCAAGGGACATAGAGTGGTCTTATTTTATGCACATAAATATGTGTATAAATGCTAATAAATACTACGTTGATAAGTCTTCGGTCGGGTGGAGTGACTTGCATCACCAAACCAAGAACATCTGATGGCCAACCCCCCTCCCCCCCAACTGTATCTCTCCTGCCCTGTTCCTCTCTCCCTCACACCCCCATCCTCGTCTTCCTGCTCAGTTCATCTCGGTTCCATTAGCCATCACGCCCAGGAAACGCTGCGATGCTGCCAAGACACAAAGTAGACGGTGACAGCGACAGCCACGGATGACACACGCATCAGTGCTACATGGCTGTTGGAGGGGGGGGGGGGGGGGGGGGTGTCCGTAGAAATCAGCAGATTACCAGGCGCGGGCCCAAAGTTCATCGCTCGCTGTCTGTCGAGCGGCGCCGGGCATGTGGGACATGATCTCCTCTTCTAAAAGCCTGACGAAGACGCGTTCAGAGGCAGCAACATCGGTGTAATACAGCGAAAGACATCCTTAATTAAACCACACGCTTTGCTCGGTATCTTACGTGAGAGACCGTTTTTATTGGACTAAATGTTTTGATTAATCTCAGTTTAGTTTAATGGGTGCCTACAGGTTTGAGCAGATCTAGTTAAATCACTTCCCGTACAGAGGGGCACCATGAAGGGAGGGAAGTTAGGGTGATCCCTGACTGACAAGGGCCCTAAAAATTTGGAACATAAGTTGATTGGTCAGGGTTGGGGGTCCAATATGAATTTTGTCACAGGCCACAAAATTTCTAATGGCACCTCTGCTGCTAGAGATGTTAGTACTCTGATGTCATCATGTTGATGTAGCAGAGATGGATGTATCTCGGCAGCAGAGGATTGTGGGACAGCCTAGGGGGACACAGACTTCCTGCTCCCGGGATACATCAGTTGCCCCACTGTAGCTGTCCGCCCTCTGCTAGCTTCGCCAACATCTCATAGCCTTCCCCCTCACCAGCTGACTGCCACCCCGCCGGTGACGATCGCCATGTTGCTGCCATCCTTCCATCCTCCAAGTGGGCCACACTCCGCTGGCGGGATCCGAGCTGGTTGCCGTGGTGACATGCTTTGCCGAAGTGAAAGTGAACGCGAATGGTTGTCCGCCCTTGGGAGATGGGGATCAGTGGGAGGTGTCACTTTTTAATGGAGATCATACCTGTACTGCGGGATGTGTGTTTATTGGGGGTGGGGTCGCTAGGGAGACTCGCGTCAGTCAGGGCGGACAGGGAACATCAGTGCCACCCCTGCACCCCCAAGCTCTGAGTAGCCTGTCGGTAATGGTCCTCTTATTGGGGGGCAGAGGTGGAAATGTCAGGTCCAGAAAGTACAAATCCAGACCGTGATTTAGTTTCAACCAACCAGTTGAGCATAAAGAGTCACAGTTACTCAACTGGTTGGTTGAAACAAAATCCTGGTCTGGATTTGTACTTTCTGGACCTGACATTTCCACCTCTGTTGGGGGGGGGGGGTCTGTGGCTCAGTGGGTGCAGCCTCTGTGCTTGTGATGGGAAGGTCACTGGTTCAACCCTCAGTAGAATAGTCACATCTTTGTTGGCTCCTTGAGGCAGGGCCTTAACTCCCAAAATGCTCCAGGCCTGACCATGCACTCCGACTCAAAGCTGTACATTCACCTGTGTGTCTGTGTGCTTCAGGTATACATTACAATGTAAAAAGACCTTTTATTTTGACATTATGGGGACCATTTTTTTCAGTCCCCACAAGGGGAAATTCAGTTTTTAAAAATCTGTGACTGCAATCAAAAAACTTAAAATGCCAAAAGTCTCATATTTAGTTTGGTTACTTACAGTATGGTTAAGGTTAGGGCTGGGTAGGGGTTAAGGTTGTAATTGTGGGGATTAGGGTTTTTTTAGTTAGGAAATGAATGGATGGTCCCCACAAAGATATGAGCATAAGTCTGTGTGTGTGTGTGTGTGTGTGTGTGTGTGTGTCAAAGGGAAGCTTGATGGGAAAAGCAAAAAGAAGCAAGATCATATCCCTGTGTGCTGTTCCCTTGACGAGAAGGAATAGGAGACAGAGAGAGTGCTCATGTGAGTGTGCCAATGGGGGCCTGAGAGATGCTTGTGTCGTCTCCCCAGTTGCCTGTTTAGATTTCATTGACCCACACAAACAACTCACTCCGCCATCCTGCTGTGAATGCTGACAGACTCAGTGCCGAATTCAGGCCTGGTGGGAGTTAAGCGATCATGGCAACAAGTTGTCAGAGTTAAATTAGCAGTAGCTGGTTGTGTAAACAGGGACGCCAGCTTTCCTGTTGGTGCAGTCACGGCGTGCCCATCTCTGCTCCATGGCCATCTCCTGCCCCTGCCCTGGCAACGTGCCACCCAATTAAAAATGGTACCACTCTCAGCTGTGTGCTGCAGCTGCAAGGTTCCCCGTTCGGCAGTGTCCGATGTTATGCTGTTTTTGTTTTCGTGTTTTTGAATTCATGGCTGGTTCAGCGTTAAAAACAAACAGAAGTGAGACCCTGGGTCCTTTTTGCATACATTTAATGTGACATTAGGCCTGCTATTATGATGATCTGTTTATCTGTTGCTTTTGATCTGTTTTGCCTGGGGATAGACATACAAAATGTGCTGGTATCCCTGATGGTCTGTAATATTCACTGCTTCCGAGCTGTGATTGGCCTTCGCCAGTCAGAGATGTCAGCACGACCGGCTCAGATTCTCTGCCATGTTAATGCCAGGGAGCCTGAACAAAGCTCAGGGGACTCTTCCCCATCATATAACAGTTTTAAAAGGGTGTGAGCCTTTATTACATGAGTTACGTTATTTGCCAGCCCTCACTACCCCATTGGAAGTCTGCCTTCAGTCTGGAGGAGAGGGTCCCTTTGGGAAGGCCTAGATACTCCTTCTGTTACATGCTGTTCTTTTGGCTTGAAGACTGCTGATGTTGCCCCTCCCGCTTTTCATTCTAGGAAAATCAATCTGTCAATCAATAAATACATCCCGTGCTATTCTATACTGCACCGTCTAATCAGAAAGGAGTTGTCACAAAGCACTCGTAGATGGAATCAAACACATTTGGCCGTTGCTCTTTGTTGGATGTTCTGACGTAGATATTGTTGTAATTATCGCACTCGTGCATCATTGGATGTAAAGCTGTAGGGCTCATTTGGCTTCTCTGTGTAGATCTGTCCTGGTTTGTCCATCTAGATTTCTTTCTGTCATTGTTCTTCTAGAGCTTTCTAGACTTGCTTATGGTGCATATGTTCCTGTTCTTCTTTTTTATAGGAAAACAACAAAGCCCCTCATATCACTAACAGGAGTTGCTATTTTCTTCAATTTTCACTAGACAGAATTGTTTTACTTTTGTCAGTAATGGGAATACCTTGGGTGGGCAGGAATGCATGGATAAACATATGCATTGGCCTGCAGGGGGCACCATAAGGCTATCACATGTGGTGGCAGTGACACTTTTTGACAGTATCGAGATAAGGAGGAGCCCACTGCATTGTGTCCTGGTCATAGGTCTATAACCTGATTAGAACTGGATGCAGGCTGCTTGGTCCACACAGGGGCGTGTCCTGCCAGGGGATGCAGGAATGCTGTCCTATCAGGTCAGAGCACCAGCTCTCAGACATGTATGGAAAGTTGGGATGGTGCTTTTGCCCTGTAGTCGAATGCTGAGTAGAGTCAGGGAGACACCAGGCGAATCGGGGAATCAGCAGTGGATGCCGTGTCAGTCTTGAAGGCAACCTCTCATCCGCGCTTGGTCACATCTCTGCTGTCTCTTATGGATTCTGCCTGATGATTCTGGCTTTTCTTTGGTGCCTGGGCTTCACCTGTTATCGCAGCAGGGGATGTAAAGAGAGACCGAGAGCTCAAATCATTGTTAAAACAGGTTTTAATGCGTATCAGAGGCATTATTGCACTCGGTTTCGCCGTCGTCCTTAATCGCTGGCGTTCCTGCAGTCGTCGGTCGTCTTTTGCAGGCTGATTGCACACTTAGAATTGGAATTTAATTGCGAATTTGACACACAGGGAGATGTGTGACAGAAGGGCCCAGGGCATTGTGGGTGAGTGGAGCTGCGGCGGCGAGGGGGCGGCTGTCCCAAAATGCACAGAGCGCAGCTCCCGCGAGCTGCCAACCCACGGACTGCGGCTATGGTGACAGGTCCGTCCACATGGAGCAGCAGCTAAATCTGTAACAGGCCCCACTACCATATACCAGCTTCACTTTGCACAAATGATCTTTTGCTGTTTTGGGAGTATCGTCTCCTTTCCGCCGCCTTATCAGTGTCTCTCCCGTGTCATGTGGTGAGCATCCTGTTATGTTCATTCAGCATTTCCCGGCCGAATGTTTCGGTCATTATTCACACTGAAGGGCGCTGATGGATTCACTGGAGGCCTGGAGAAGTGATGACTAAAGGCCTGTGAGCATTTGCTAGCAGTCAGTGGGTGCATCTTCCACTGAGCCTTGGAGAAAAGGCAACCGTTAGGTAAGGTCCGCTTTTGGGAGAGTGTAGGTAAGCGCAATGTGATGGGCTGGCCTGTAGGGGGCAGAAGGGCATAGTGATTTTGTGTGTCAACATGAGCGTCGACCTCTCTTATACGTTTCCTCCATTCTGCTGCATCACCTCCTTGTTTCATATTGGGTTGGCTAAGCTCTGATTTTGAACTCACCACAAACTGGCTTTTGAAGGACGCTTTGAGCAAACAGATCTGATTAATACCCCCCACTTTAACCTCTTTGCACTAGTTAAGGCAATTTTAATTTCTTTTGTACCTGTTTTTGTAATTGGTTGCTGTCCATTCTGACTCCCCATTTCGTCTATCCCAGAAGCCACCAGTGAGATTTATGATCAGGAGACTAATTGGATTCTCCCATCATCCCTCCCTGCGTTAACGACTGTGCCCCGCCTTTCTGACTTTGCCCTGTGCCTTAAATGTCCTTCGACGGCGGGGGCTAACAAGCTGCCAGTCCTCGTGTACGCATTGCATTTGGCGAGGATTTGACCATTAGTTCTGGGATTGTTTTCAGACCTCGCAGCTACATTATTTGCCATCATTGAGGTTATTTGACACAGTTCATTGGGTAGCGTTGGACAGGCACCGTAACATCTTTCTGTTCAGCGATATCGTCCCCGTGTGGCATTATCCCGTTACCGGTTCCAGTTGGCCTATCGGTACGGTCCCCATTTGGACGTGCGCGTTTCTAAACCACACAACAGTCAGCTAACACGTGTGAAGACAAATTAAAATGGCAGCGTTGTGTGATTATTACAGTACATGCTCACCATTGGCAGGGTGTTGAGAGCCGTGAGGCGGGCGATGGGCACTGCGGTGTAGGACTGGTTACCGGTGAAAGCCGATCTGGTCAAGAGAGGTTGAGAGCGTGGTTTGATCCCGTGGAGGAATCTTGGCTAGTCCACCAGGTCTCCCCAGTTGGGCCCGCCAGCTCCGAGCCTCTATAATTTGCTCTCCGTTGGCATTTAGCCCATTTGCCGCCGCTGTCTACACGCCAGCGTGAGTGAGAGATATCGGCACCTCGCTGTCTAGCTGTGAGTTCTCAGCTGCTTCCCCCCGGCTTGCTGGCATTCGCTCTCCTTCGAGACGGAGTTACCAGCCGCTGTCTCCGCTCCTCCATGGGAGCCAAGCTTGCCGATGGCCGCACCCCCTCCCGGATACCTGTTCTTTCCCCGCCCAGTGTCACGGTTCTGACCCCAAGGCACATGTCTGTTTCCACATGCTCATTGTCTTTATTATTATTGCTGATGCTATCAATTATACAGGGCGTTAGAGTCTGTCGTATACTGTCATGCAATATGAGACACATTATCATTAATGTCCCCTTTTCATTATTTACCACCTTAACGCTTATTTATTTGGTAATGGGGACATTTCATCAAAGAGTGCATCTCCACCTACTAACCTGCTCACTATTCTTTGAGTATCAGGGGAACCTGTACTGGGATCCTTTCTGTTGAGGCTCTTTGCTCTGAGAGCTAGAGGAATGGGGAATTCTGAGCTTTTTTTCTGGAAAAGAACTCAACCCTGAAGTCATGTGATCCACTGTGAGATCAGACAAGCTCCAAGGACAGTTCTGTATACCTCTTAGGGGTAATGATTGCTTATCTTTCCTCTTGCTGGTATCTTTTTCATGATCCTAATTCCAGTTGCTCTTACACTTTTTTTTTCCTTATCTGTGGGATAATGCTCACTCCTTCCTTCAGTCCTTCACTTTTCTCCTGAACAACCCCATACCTTGGTGATAGGTCTTCTTCTTAACCCTGTAGCTCAAAAAGCAGAGCATTGCACTAACGTCACAAAGGTTGTGGGTTCAAATCCTGGAGTACACATAAATCGTAAGCCTTCCTTCTACTGTAATTCGCTTTCAATAAGAGTGTCTGATAAATGAATTAAACATTAATTAAACGTCACCCTCCTGTACTTCTCTCTGTACCCCAGATGACGTGCCAGTTGAAGACGACTTCCGTGAAGGACACGTCCCAGACCAGTTTGCCGGGCTGCTGCATGGTTCATCGCCAGCCTGCGAGTCCCCCGACAACCCCTACCAGCTCTACGGAAAGGTGCGCAAGTTCAGTGCCCCTGAGCCTGGACCGGCACATCACCACGGCAATCTGCTGCAGGCTCCCGAACTGTGTACCCGCCTCCCCCGAACGGGCAGTGAAGCGTCCGCCCTGAAGGGTCCACGGGAGCCCAAACCGCAGGTTGTTTATCGGACCATCTTCCACACCCGTGTGAACCAGAACCAAACCCGGAACCAGAGCCGGAACGAGACGGATCCAAAAAGTGGCTCCCCAGCTCGGTCAGGCTTGGAGGAGCGAGCGTGCACGCTCGGCAGGATGCGTTCCGTGCCTAAGGACGTGCTGGACCTGCAGCTCTCCCGGAACTTCTCCAAGTCAGACTCCAACCTCATCTCCGTGTCACCCATCCAGGAGGAACGACGAGGCCAGCCTGGCACTGGCAGAACCAGCCCCAGCAGCCGGCTGGAGCGAACACCGTCCTTCACAGCAGAATGGGAGGAGGTAAGAGTGGCTATAGCGGCCGCCGGTCTCTCGTTCTCGTTGGTCATTGGTTCATTGTTTATGGGTCTTTGTCCTCTTAGTGGACTATGTTTGTAGTTGGCTGGCCTCCATGTGCTTCCATGTGCGTAGTATTTTTTATTTATTGGATTTATTGAGCACAAAAGACAATGTTACATGTGAAAACAATGCAACCGTTGTTTTGTACGGAGGTTTCTAGCCAATCCTTGGTTGGACTAGGTTTTCAGACTATCTGTGTATTTATACACTTTAGGCGAACTGACTTAGCATCCCATGGTGATGCCAGCAATGGGTGTGGCTTAATTAGCAAATCCTTCTAATGAATAGGGGTGTCTGCATACTTTTGTCCATGTATTGTGTGTTGATTTGACATCCCTGTCTCACGCCATATCCACTCTGACCTGCCAAAACTCCTAAATCTGATCTGTATGCATTTCAATTCGACAGTATGTAGCACTGGTTGTAGGATGAACTGAATGCTAAATAGCCTTGTTGTTGACATGAGGGCATTACTTGTGGTCTTCTGTAGCACCTTCCCATGGAGCTGCTTTCTTGCATTCAAGTAGAGTTCTGCATAGACTTAAAGAGAACAAATCGCTATTCTATACCAGTCAGGTTCAGGTTTTTTTTTTTGCCCAGAAATCAACTCAAGGAGAAGCTCCTTTTTAGAGGATCTCAAGTTTGGTACTAATATCAAACTCAACCAGTGAGAGACTGGCACTGGATGGGGTCAAGTCCAGGGAAAGAAGTCATGGAAACAGAGAACTGGAACAGCCCTAAAGAGACTGCCTTGGAAAAACCAGCCCAAAAACAGTAAAGCTTAGAGAAACCAGCCCTAAGACTCAAGCTCAGAGAAACCAGCAATAAGAATCAAGCTCAGAGAAACCAGCAATAAGACTCAAGCTCAGAGAAACCAGCCCTAAGACTCAAGCTCAGAGAAACCAGCAATAAGAGTCAAGCTCAGAGAAACCAGCAATAAGACTCAAGCTCAGAGAAACCAGCCCTAAGAGGCAAGCTCAGAGAAACCAGCTGTAAGAGTCAATCTCAAGATAGCAGCCCTAAGAGTCAATCTCTGAGAAACCAGTCCTACGAATCAATCTCAGAGAAACAAACCTTAAATAGTCAAGCTCAGAGAAACCAGCCCTTTCGTCGGTTGCATTGAGAACCAAATCCAGCCAAACAGCACACCGTGAAATCCTGTTTAGGGAGAACGTGGATTTCTTATGGCAGTCAGCACAGCCGTAAGCAGAAAATATGACTGTCGCAGTGATGATGTTTCATGCTCCATCTTTGTCTCTCTATAGATTGATAAAATCATGAGCTCCATTGGAGCCGGAATCAGTACAGAGCTGGAGGAGATCAAGGAAGACGCATCAGGTGCGTGTTTGTCTTTGTGCATCTATGTGTATATGTATGTATGTGTGTGTGTCTGTGTGTGTGTGTGTGTGACTTCTGTCTATATCTGTGTGTGAGTAATGAAGTAAACTTGTGAAATTTACCTCTCAGTCTAAAGGGCCAGAAGTGTATTAGCAGGTCAGAGGCAATAACTTTCTGAATGAGCACTGTAGAGACAAATTGCATCATGGGAAGTTGGTTCATATAACTAGGCCGTGAGGTCAACCCAGATCTTAGGCTTGAATGGCACCCTCCTCTACACTGACTGTATTGCGCTATTCTTTCATTGACAGCTCTGGTCCTCTGCCTGTCCAGAGTACCTGAAAGGATGTTCCCTTTGTGCATGATAGCGTAGCCTGTAGTGCCATATGAATGTCATGTGGATGAGCCGCCTTGTTACATTTTAGACTGACAGCTGGTTATAGGTTGTTTTGCTATGTATGCTAGCTTTAGCTGCCCATGTTTTGGTCTGTATGTACAGCGTTCCACTGTGGTGACCTGCAGACAGGAACCCTAGAACCCTAGCCGGCAGCCTTTGGCGAACGCTTTGTGCTCTGTCTCCAGGGAAACCCCATTAATGATGTTAAATGTGGAGGAAGCTGCTCCAGGGGCACTAAAGCCAGCCTATGCTGCAGCCTAAGATGGACCAGACTTCTGGGCCTTTTTCTAACGTTACATTTCTGCTGCCTGTCTCTTTCCTCAAGTGTCGAATGCCGCAGTCACTCGTCGTGTGTCCCTCCTCCCCTCCTCAGCCGGGGGGCCACATGTCTCCACAGCGTATATCGCTAATTTCAGGGAATAAAGGGTTTATATATGGAAGGAATGAGGATAAGTTTCAGGGGAGAGAGGAAAACGTGAGAATCAAGAAGAGGAGAAGCATTTACAACTTTCCCCTGATTCTGATGGAATGGAAGGTTTATCTTATGGAGTGGCAAGTGTGTATGTCTGTAAGAGTGTGTGTGTGTGTGTGTGTCAGAGTGTGTGTGTGTGTATATGCATGTGTGAGGGTGAGTGTGTGTGTGAGAGTGTGTATGTGTGTGTATGTGAGAGAGAGAGTGTGTGCGTCGATGAATCTATGTATGTACAGTACATGACAGTTTGTGTCTCCTTGAGAGTGTGTATGTATGTCTGTGAATGTGTGTTTGTGTGTATGTGTGTATCTGGGAGAGTGTGTGCGTATCTACTGTATGAGAGTGTGTGTGTGTGTGTGTGAGTGTCCATGAGAGTATGTGTATAAGAATGCGTGCATGTCTGTGAGAGTGTTTGTGTGTGTGTGTGAGTGCATGCGTTTCTTCATCTCTCAGTATGTGTGCATGTGGCGTGTGTGTTGTTGCTGTGTCTCTGTTATTGCCGTTGCATGTGGTTTTATTCATTTCTCTGTTCTGCCTGTCTGTGTGTTTGCGCGCCTGTGTTTGTTTTTGTGGTTGTACACGACTGTGTGCCTGCGCTATAGGAGAGGGCATCCTCATACAGCTCCACACCCTCAGACAATGGCGGGGTACGGAGTGAGGGAGGGAGAGGGAGCGAGAAAGCGAGAGAGAGAGAGAGAGAGAGAGAGAGAGGGAGGGACAGAGGGAGGGAGGGAGAACTGGAGAAAGAGGGAGCGGGAAGAAGAGAGGAGGGGCAGGGAGAGACAGGGAGGGGGGTTGAGAGAGAGAGAGAGGGAGAGGGAGGGAGGTGTGGGGACCAGCGCTGTAGGAGCATATAGATGAGTGTGGGAGTACTTGATAAAGAGAATTCTATCAGGCAGCCAGGCAGCGCCTGCTCTCTCTCTCCCTCTCTCTCTCCCTCGCTCTCTCTCTCTCCCTTTCTCACACACACACACACGCACACACACACACTCCGCGCGGGAAGCAGGAGCAACAGCTGAGCCCTCGCCACCGTCGCTGTCGCCGCTCCGCCATGGCCACACAGCGACCCGCCGGAGCCTGAGGGACCCAAGCCGTCGCCGGGCCGCTGGGGCATCCTCCGCTCCTCCTCGGCCCTCTCCGCCTCCCTCCGTGGGCTTTTTTATTTCCCCCCTCCCTCCCTTCCCTCGTGTTTATTTTTTTTTCCGTCTTGGTCTCGTCACGCGGGTCGCCGCGGTAACCGGGCAAGCTGGCGGGCTCTTTCGACAGCCACTTTGCCAGGAATATGATGTGGCAGTGCCAGCTGTCGCAGCCGGACTGCCGCTGCTACCGCGTGGACGGCTACTCGCTGCTCAAGCGGCTGCCTCTGCATCCCCTCATAGGCCCCCGGTGCCCGGTGCAGTCTGTGGGCCAGTGGCTCGACAACATCGGCCTGGTCCAGTATGAGAACCACCTGCTCGCCAACGGGTTCGACAACGTCCAGTTTATGGTGAGTGTTCCGCCGCCTCGCCGATCCGGCCGTGCTCCATGTCCTCTGCTGCTCGGTCTCAGGCTAGGGGGAGCTGAGTGAGGACCTCTGAATCCCCCCCCCCCCACACACACACAGACAGACACTCACACTCCACCCCCAGCCACGACACATTGAGCCCACGTTCCGGAAACTTTGTCGCATGTGGCGTGTCGCTGCTGTACCCTCCTATGAGACTCACTTAGCTTTCCCTTCCAGCTATGCGACCTTGCCGGTTAGTTAATTAAATCAGAAGATGATCCCATTTAGTTTTCCTCGCCGCAGCCCGTCCCAATTCTGATTAAAGGCTTTCTCTCACGCACTGACACCTGTAGGTAGACCCTTTTTCATGGAATAGGTGTGTTTCCAACAGCCTCTGTCCATGAACACGCATGTGTTTGTGTGGCGGGATTCGGGGCGAAACGGCATGTTTTCCAGAGGTTCTGTGTGTGATTTATCGCAAACCCCGTGCGTCTGTGTCTGCAGTATAACCTGGTGGTCCTGCACACTGGGCCGAGGCAGCCTTGCACGCCTCGCACGCCTGTGCACGAGCTCTGGCCACCCGCCTGTAGTGCATTGTCAGGGACGTGTGCGTCTCCATTGTGGTGAGATAATTACCCAGACTTCTCCGTGGAGCCACATCGGAGGCATCGGAACGGGGCTGGTGCGTACGCACCGAGATTCCTCGCTGTGCGGAGTGTAGCGCCACCCAGCTTTACGCGCCGGTATGAATACTTCAGAGTCAGCAACAGGTGCAAGGAATGTGTGTATGTGTGTGTCTGTCATTTTTATATTGCTGGCTGTTAATGATTTCAAGTAGGAGCGGTGTGTGTTTCTCTGTGTGTGTGCAGTTGACGTATATGCATTAAGGGCACTTGTATGTTTTTCTGGGTGACGCATAGACGGCGCTGAGACAGGTAGCTTTATGTAAGTGATGTGTGTATGTGTGTGTCGGTAGGAAGGGCAGGCATTTTGTGTTTCTGTGTTTGATAAACTGCAGCAGCTTGTTAGGGCTTCAGAGGGGCACTTGAGGAAGGCTGGAGTACAGCTGGCAATGTCGCGCATGGGACTGGATGTGATGTCAGGGCAGGTACAGTCACCACGGGCAACGGGGCAGGTGTATGTCTGTGGTTCGCTGCCCGAAGTGGGAGGCTTCCTCATGCACGGTGAGGCTACGAGTGTGGGCTGTTGTCACGGATACGCAGCATCACCACGTGCTGTGTCCAATGGGAAGGCGATGAGATGATGGTCCCATTCACTTTGTTTTCGGGGGGGAGGGGTGTCCCAAAACACCTTTCAGTTGCAAGTTGTCTTGAGTAATGCAGTGTGTCGCAGTCCTCTCGGCGTTGGCAGGGTGGCGTAGTGTGGGGGACTGCTGTGAGGGTCTTACGTCGTCATGGAAGTGCGGGATACGCGGGTAGGGGCGGGGGCATGGCTGGACTTGACGATGCCGGCTTGGCATTTGGCGCCCTGCGGGGGCAGCCGTGTGGTTCTGCATTCGTCATGTGGGGGGAGGCAGGCCCCTCACTGGAATGAGGGGGTCCCTAAGCCTCTGTGGGGGTTGGGGGGGGGGGCTCCTCCCACTCTGAGGATGGTGCGATGCTGCCACTCAGAGCCGTGAAGCCCGGCACCTCGGAGGCACATTGCTGAGGACACACAGCATCCTCTGCCGCTGTGCCAAGGAGACCTGCTCTGCATAGTGATGCGTGTGACTGTGCACTGCGTGTCTGTGCACTGCGTGACTGTGCACTGCGTGTCTGTGCCTGTCGCCACCCAGAGGTGAATCGACTGTGTGCTTGTGTGGTGTGTGTAACACTGAGGGCTACATGCTCCGTAATGACGCCTCTGAGGATATTTACTGGACCCACTCTGCTGGCTCCTCTCCTCGCGTTGCTATGACCTGCATCTGTCCCTCCGGTTGCCCTGGCAACTGCAGCCTGAGTGGGCCGTTCCATGCGATCTGCAGTGCTGCTCGGCAACCGGACCGAGGGGAAGAGTCAGAGCTCAGCCATTATGCCTGCGTGTGCGTGTGTGAGTGTATGCGAGAGTGTGCGTGTGCGTGTGCTTGTGTGTGCATGCATGAGTGAATCAGTGCGGAGGCTGAGTACCAGGGATAAAGACTCTAACCGTGTTTTAGACAGAAATCTTGTTTGACCCCAGACAGCAGGGCAAGCTGTGCCATTAAGAGCATGACCCCAGAGAGAGCAGAATCCATAATCTGCGCTCAGAGACGATATGCAATCAGGGACAAATTACATATTAATTGGTAAAGAGCTCCATTCTCGCAGGGCAGTGACACGCGGAGGCTGAGCTAGCAGGCCGATGTGTTTCTGGTGTTTTTTGGCAGGACAGGCGAGTGACCCCTTAGCCAGAGCCGGCAGAGAGCTGCCAGAGCTGGTGAGCCCTTGCGTGTGGCCTGGTGACTGGATGGTCAGTCAAGGAGCCCTTTGAGTAAAATCCACCCGCTGTCCCTCATCTGCTTATGGGAACACGAGGGACCGTTCTTCCTGCTGCTTTTGTTTTTTAACTTATTTGCAGCTCATGCTCAGGACAGCATATCATGTATGTCTGTGTGTGTATGAGGTGGATTTGATGTGTGTCTGCACTGTAAACTAAAGTACATTGTCAGTGCATTTTAAATGCCTGCCAATCAGTGCATCGGAGTGTAAGCCTGTCATCCCTGTCCATTGTTATTTTTTAAATCTCATCCAAAAATGATGGGTGCTTAGGAAAACTCTGATTTGTCCGCTGTATTTGGTCACCTGACCAAACCCTGCCTCCCCTTTTCCACCTCCTTCCCCCAGACGGAGGCCTGTAGATATTTCTGCCTTCTCTGGTCCTCTTCCTAACAGACTCGGGGGGCTACCACCTCAGGTCCTCTTCCTAACAGACTCGGGGGGCTACCACCTCAGNTCTTCCTAACAGACTCGGGGGGCTACCACCTCAGGTCCTCTTCCTAACAGACTCGGGGGGCTACCACCTCAGATACAGCACAGCTGACTAGTGAATTAGAATATACAACTGGCCAGTGGATTATAATGCGCACCTGGCTAGTAGATTAAAATGTGCATCTGGCCAGTGGATTAAAATGTGCATCTGACCAGTGGATTATAATGCGCACCTGGCTAGTGGATTAAAATGTGCATCTGGCCAGTGGATTAAAATGTGCATCTGACCAGTGGATTTAAAATGCGCACCTGGCTAGTAGATTAAAATGTGCATCTGACCAGTGGATTAAAATGCGCACCTGGCTAGTATATTAAAATGTGCATCTGGCCAGTGGATTATAATGCGCACCTGGCTAGTGGATTAAAATGTGCATCTGGCCAGTGGATTAAATTGTGCATCTGGCCAGTGGATTAAAATGTGCACCTGGCCAGTGGATTAAAGTGTACACTTGGCTAGTAGATTAAAATGTGCACCTGGCCAGTGGATTAAAGTGTACACTTGGCTAGTAGATTTAAATGTGCACCTGGCCAGTGGATTATAATGCGCACCTGGCCAGTGGATTAAAATGTGCACCTGGCCAGTGGATTAAAATGTGCACTTGGCTGGTGAATTAGAATAGCATAGCTGGCTAGTGAATTAAAATGCACAATTGGCCAGTAGTTCGGGCAGTTCAAAGAGCCAGTGACTTTACCGGTGTGAGTCTGTAGCCGTCATATTTTGGACGGTCTACGATGCTGCTTCTGAATAGCCTCTGCTTATATTTAGCAGTGGATGATGCAGCTTCCCAGTCCTTGAGTGTCTAAACCACAATAAACACCCTGTTTCTCTATGTTTTCTGGTTGCCACCATGTGACACTCAGTGGACAGCAGTGCTGGTCTCGCTTATCCTGGCACGGCTTGCCGATTCTCTGCCAAGTTAGTCTTGTGTAACTTCATCAGGATGTTGGAGTACTTATGTAAGGTTGTACGTCGGTTAAGCGAGCTTATGCCTGCACCTTGTGTGCCCATAGCGTCACGTATGGCCGTGTGACTGCTGGGGGTTATTTGATGTGGCGTTGTGTACCTGTGCCACAGAGCTGTCTCTGTGTGGTTGCCACATGTCTGTGAAAATGTCTGCTGCTCTGCATAGCTCTGTAGACAGCAATAAGCCGCAAGTTGCCTATGTGCCTCTAGGTTTTCAGTGTTTAAAACAGTGTCTCTACTATTCCTGAGACACATCAGAACAGGCCACTATGACTTACAGTAGATGCTGGGTCTGATTCTGATGGTGCAGGATCCGCTGGCAGGGTCTGATGGTGCAAGATCCGCTGGCTAGGTTTGATGATGCATGATCCGCTAGCTGGGTCTGATGGTGCAGATTCAGGTCACTGTGTCTGATGGTGTGGATTCAGCTCACTGGGTCTGGTGGTACAGAATCCATTATCTTGGTCTGATGGTGCAAGATCCGCTGGCTAGGTTTGATGATGCATGATCAGCTAGCTGGGACTGGTGGTGCAGGATCCTTTCACTGAGTCTGATGGTGCCGGATCAGATTGCTGCGTCTGATGGTGCAGGATCAGCTTGCTGGGTCTGATGGTGCAGGATCTTCTAGCTGGGTCTGATGGTGCTGGATCCACTTATCAGTGGTGCAATATTGTCATTATTCCATGAGACCTCCTCTGGAGACCCCCATCGCTTACGCCAGACCACAGAGAAGCCCACATTCACATGGACACAATTTCTTTTCTTATTGTGTAACATGGACGATGACTCCATGTTTAAGGATCCACACTTTGTTGTACCTTTCATTAAGGTACCTATTTTGAATTGCTTTAAAAATGCTTCAGATGCACAGCTATATATGTAAAATTTGAAGCAAAGTAAGTTACACTGACATGTTGCTAAGCATCTTAAAATATTGATAAAGAATGACAGAACAAAGCAGTCAGGACTAAAAATAGAGGCTATTGAGAAACAAGGAGAGGAACAAAGAGAAAGAGTAGCTGCCAGTGAGAGATTTAGTCTGGTCTTACAGGGCAGAGCTGGTATCCTCTTCTTGGGGCACCAAGTGGATTATTTGACCACAGAACTTTGGACATTTATAATCTTGTTTCAAAGTGGCAAGCAGTTAGCCTGGATGCAGTGGCCATGCTGCCTCTTACGCTGATTAAGGCCTTCCCTTTGCTTCCATCAGGCTGTAACTGAATACCACTTCAGTTTTTTAATTGGTTTAATTGGCACAAAGAACTGCATTTATAGTTCATACGCAGCTGAATCCTCGGCTAGGTGTAAAAACTAGTGACATAAAATAAGGTTTTAATACTTCTACGCCCACACACATTCTTACCTTGAGATGGTGCCAGGCTGGGACATATTTTACCGCCAATGTGGGAATGTAAAGTAAGTGGGGGGGGGAGGGGGGGGGTTGTGGGTTCAGTTACGAAGTTTTACAGCATTTTTCTGTGCGTCAGCAACAACAGCAATAACTATAACAGCGACACCGACAATAATAATTATTATCTATATATTATTATTATCTAAACTGGAATATGTTTGTTGGCCTTGAACTTCAGGAGTGCTTAAAACATAAATTAAATAATGTGAATAAATCAGTGTAACACACTGCTGTTTATACCAGGGTGGTGTGTGTGTGTGTGTGTGTGTGTGTGTGTCCGCAGGCAGTATGTCATTCCTCACGGCAGCTTTGCAGTTTGTTATTTTCGTCTCTCTCCGATTCTTTACCTCCTCCGCCGCTCTACTGCCGCTGATGTAGTTCAGCATTGCCTATGGATTATTTAGTGATACCACACAGTCCTTACCATTAAATCCTAGCCTAATTGCCCGTGGATAAAACCTTAAAGAAACAGCGCTCATATGGATAGTTTATGATTTGTTTTGCCCTCTCTGTCATCGGCAGGGACATATTCTGTTTGTGTTTACCATGAAATGTGTGCTGGGTGAGCTAGAGGCGGCTGGGGAGAGACATTAGCTTCAGTCTGCTTGCTTATTTTATTAGGAACAACATTGATGGACGCTTACAGTGTCCAAGGAAATTAGGCTGGGGGAAATCGAGTTTGGTCGTAGTAATGGCATGACCTGGATATGACCAGCCTGTGGTACTGTCGGGTCTCCAGCGGGCCGCTCTGCTCTGGAAGTAAATCACCCGCTTCCAGCTGGATCCCACCAATCACAGGCTGTGCTTCCCCTTACCATGATGGGAGGTAAAGGAGGTGAGCAGTGATTGGCTGTTCAAACAGGAGTGGGGTCTTAAGGCGGCCTGCTGTGACAGGGAGCCTGGCTGCGAAATCAGGGATTAGCACAGCAGACCTCGAACGCTCTCGCCTGCAGACCAAGGACTTGATCCACCAATACGAGGGGTCCATGTGCATTGTAATTGCTTCCCGTAAGCCACTGGGGGCAGCAAAGAGACACAAATCATTGTGCAAACACACACACACACACAGTCATTAACACAAGCACACCGATCAGGCCTTTCTCCTGGCTGCGACTGAGTGACGCTACGTGGGTGGACTTTGTTTCTCCTCCAGGGCAGCAATGTGGTGGAGGACCAGGACCTGCTGGAGATCGGCATTCTCAATTCTGCACACAGACAGCGCCTCCTTCAGGCCATCCGCCTCCTGCCGCGGGTGAGTGAGACGGTTCGTTGGAAGGGAGGACTGAGATTCTCATCATGCCCTGCCTCATGGATACAGGATGGAGCAGAGTCACTGGCCCAAGCTGAAAGCTGATTGGCCCCTGGAGTGCCCCCTCTCCAGTCACTCACTGATTCCAGACTTACCATTGGCTAATGATGAAGTTGGCCTCTCTGTATGAATTATGTCCCCATTTATGCCCCCCACCTTAAAAAATCCTAGAATCGCCCCTGGTACAGGGGGGTTGGATGGGCCCCGGAAGTGGGAGGTGCACCATCATCTGTGAGGGTGGTCTGGAAACTCCTGGTTCTTCACTGGGCCATTAACCCACTGGGTCAAAACAAAGAACAAATGAACAAATGGAGTTATAATGGTGGTGTGTGAAAATGTCTGTTTATTAGAGATTTCGCTGTCAATATAAATATTAACTCAGTTTAATATCTTGTGACCCACACTAGGGTTCATGGACAGATTCATGGACAGATTTCAGCATAGTCACACATGAAGTGTCATGAAGTTGTGTTCCTAGGATTTTCCTTTAGCGAATGAGCTTGTCTTTTAGGGATTGACCTCCAGATACCCCTAAATGTAATATTTGAATTCAGCAGCTGCTCTTGCCTGGCTGTACAACTTTTCAAAGGCATTAAAGATGGAACCTGCTCTTCTGTTGTCCTCTCGGCGTGAAACACAGGATCTGTGTTTTCATCTCCTTATCCTCACAGGAGCTATGGTGCAATTAACTTTTTTGAACTGAGAGCAGGGCAGTCAGAGTAGCTAAAGAGAAAGGAGTAAGAGGAACACGGTGGGAGAGAGGGACACTGGGAGAAGTGGGAGGAGAAGAAGAGAGAGGAAGGAAGACAAAGCAAAGATGAGCACAGAGTGGGAGACAGAGAGAAACAGGAAGTGTAACAGAGTAAGAGGAACACAGAGCAAAGCAAAGAGGAACAGCAAGAGAGACAGTGAAACAGGAAGTGAAACACAGAGGAACACGAACACAGAACAAAGCAAAGAGGAACATAATGAGGGAGACAAAGAAACAGGGAGTGAAACACAGAGAGGAAAAGGAACACAACAAACCAAAAAGGAGCACAGAGAGAGACAGCGAGAAAGAAGAAGTGGAATACATAGAGGAACAGGAACACAGAGCAAAGCAAAGAGGAGCAGAGAGAGACAGACAGGCAGAGAAACAGGAAGTGTAAGAGAGAGGAACATGAACTGTAGCACAGAGTGGAAAAAAAACAGAGAACAGCAAAGAGGGGCACAGAGAGGAAGACAAATGGGAAGAGAAAAAGTGGAGAGTACAAACAAACAGGAACAAAAAGAAAAACACAAGAAACAGGAACACAGAGAAATCCATCTGATAAAAATGCTGAAAAACCCATCATCAGTGAGTGGGTGGATAATGGCTCCTAAATTAGAACCTGCATCTATTTATCCCCTTGATCCCAGCAGGCAAAATACTGCAAAGCAATCAGATAAGTTTAAATTACATCCACAAGGCAGGTGTGTTGATGTACTGTGTGAATGAACTGAAGTTTCACACCACTGATGCCAAATTACTATTACATTCAAGATGCTCAGGGGCGTTGTATGTTCTACTGTTAATACATAAACAAGAAAAGGTGACCTACTGCACAAATTAAACCCAGTCTTTATACAAACTCAGCAGCTAGAAGCCAAAAACAGCAAACATAATAGCAACATGGTAACTATGATCCAATAAAAAGTAAGATAAAAATACATATTTTGTGTTAGTATCTAAACATGTAGCTATATACTGAAAATTCAGCCAAGTTCAGGCCCTTTGTGAGGCTCTCCTGATGCAGGATGTGGAGTGACAGGCTCATCTAGCCTGATTGGTGGAATTCGTTGTTCATCCTCCAATGGAAAAAGCCCAATGTGCATGCCTTCCCACAGGTGCGGCCAATTGGCTATGATGGGAACAACCCAACGTCGGTGGCGGAGTGGCTGGAGTCTCTGGAGCTTGGTGACTACACCAAGTCTTTCCTCATCAATGGCTACACCTCAATGGAGTTGGTCAAGAAGATCTGGGAAATTGAGCTCATCAATGTAAGCAGCATCTCCTCTTGTTCCAATCCCGTTTAATATCGCATTGTAATGGAATGCACAAAGTCAGTTAATCCAGTAGAAATGTCTGCCTTGATCATACGAATCTGTGGTTAGTGCCCACACTGTGGTGCAACACTTTGAGCACTGGTGTGCTATGACACCACTTCCTGTTCTTGTTTACGGCATCCTATCCCAGGATCATGAGGTACTTATCTGAAATCATTCTACTGAAAGATAATGTGCAGCCTGAAAGGCCTTCAGGGATTTTAGATACTGGGAATACAGAATGACTTTCCTTTGGACTGAATGAGGATGTGTTTTGGGGGGGGGGAGTTTGGAATTTAAATGATCAGATCTTCTGTGGATTACCTTGTGTGGGTCTGAGTGACCGTTTAGTTAAAGGGTATGGAGTTTGATTTCAGCATTTGGTGACGGGGTAAAGGAAATGTTTCATTCATTCATTCATTTTGTCTCCACGCAATACTGGAACGGAGCTGTAGGAATAAAAAAAGCAAAAGGACAGCATAGTAGCAGGAGGTGGGCGGTATGGTAGGCCGCGCTCCCCACCAGCTCACTGCAGTACTGAGAAGAGGGGGCTGCGGGCTCCTTAGCCGCTCACACAGAGATGCTGTACAGGAGATGGTGACCACTAGGGGGCACCAAAAACCACTGCTTTTCAGTACGTATATGCACTGTGCATAGGTCTGCCTAAATGAAGAATCTCTGTGATATGGGATATGAGTGTCTGAACCCTCCTGTTAGCCAATGGCAGAGTTTCACTGAGTCCCTATATCTGAACACGGTGTTCAGAAAGTATCAGGGAATCTGAGAATGGAGAGTCCGGTGCAGTTTATTTATATAGCGGGTGCACGGCATTCGCAGCAGAGTCTGATGAAGCCATCAGTGTTAACAATGTTCATACAGCGGACAGGAAATCAGCATGTAATGCCAATGGCCCCAGTGGCCAATCGTGATGAGCAACCTGATCTGAGCGATTTGAGGGGTCATGTGACAGCCTGAAGGTAAGCAGTGAAACACTGGAGGGCAGAGATCAGAAAATGGATGGATGGATGGGTAGATCAAGGTGGTGAGGACTGGAGGGAGGGGATAACTGGGGGGGTTCTGAATTAGGTACCCCATTCAGCACCCACTGCAGGGGGGGGGGGGTAGTGCCATCAAGTGTTACAGTGCGACTCAATATACCAGTGGGGTCACCTGGATAAGTGACTATTAAGCCCCCACTGTTCTTAATGCCAGCCCCACCTCCCCCCCACCAAAATCGGAAAAGAAGCAGTTGGCATGACAAGCTCCTTATTGTGTCAGGGAACAGAGACACGGCCCCTTATTAAAGCACAGGCTGCTCTCGTCCTTTGGTTCACTGCGTTTGGGGCAAACCGTGAGGCAAATGCATTCACTTCCAATGGAAATACGAAGGGCAGTGCGTAAGTTTAGACTTTAAAGTTGGTCTACTGGGAACACATGGCCGATTTCATTACCGCATTGCCCCCTTGATTGGCAATATTCTTTAGAGGTTAATGAACACACAAATTAATGCAAATTGGAATTTGGGTTCACAGTTGCATTACTGCTTCTTGGCCAGTAGAGGGCTCTGGTGTTCTTTTTGACAGTTTCCACAGGGAACATATTGTGCTTGTGTAGAGAATATCTTACATTACAAATTGACGAAGCCAAAAGTGAGGTTCAAGCACTGAAGTTACTGAGGGATTCACTTTGATTTGAATACTGTGGGGAGCCGGAGATACTGAGCTGTTGTTTTTTCTTCTGCTTCATAAAGCTTTATACGTTCGTCCGTATGGTCTGATGAAAATAGAAAGGTCAGGACATATTTACCGAATTCCCTGAGCGTGCCTGCTAGCAGGGACTTGCTCCCAAATAACCTGTGTGGAGGAATGTGGCTCTTTTAGCCAAGGGGAGGAGAATGATTTTTCAAGCCTGAGCGAGAGGTGCTGGGCAGCCACTGAAGCTCGTTGGAGTGGCGATATTTCCATCTGCAAGGACGTGTGTGTGTTTGCACACTGTGTTTTGTGCTTGAGGTTGCTCTGTGTTTGTGCACTCACCAAGCTAGGATTTCACATCCATGCTGCGTGTTTCTGTATATGACCGCAGTGTGCCGGCCTGTCCCTCTTTGAGTATGAAACATGTTTTTGCAGTAGAACCACACCTCAGGGCAGAAACACATCGTTTCTCATTGAGACATTCCTCTGCAGACACAGGGACTGAGACTGAACTCCAAACTCATTTTTACAGACACACAGCAACTGGAGCCACTGAGACTGAACTCTGAACCCTTTTTTGTAGAGACAGACAGAGCTTTGAGACAGACTGAGATTGAACTCGGAGCCCATTTTATGGAGACATACAGAGACTGGAGACACGAGAGCTGAGAATAAACCGTTTACAGAGACAGACTTAAATTCCAGGTAGAGGTCTAAGTGCCACTGGCTATACTGAAGTCCTGAGAGGGGGAAATGGGATGTGTGAGGAGTGAGTTAAGCCTCATGAACAATGCAACCGATACATGATCAGCGCCTGAGCCGAGCTGTGTGTCATGCTGCCTGTCAGCCTGGACCAGCTGTGCGGCATCGGGTCATGGCACATCGCTCAGCACAATGACCAGTCACTGCCGCTAATACAAGCTGCAGCTAAGTAATAATAGTTCTACTTTTTGATGACCAGTAAGTTGTTGCCATGACAGGTAGTGGTTACTATAGCGACCTGACGTGCGGAGCAGGGTTTTGTCACTGCATAAGACTGGCTCTTCTGAGCCTTTGCGGGGGGGGGGGGGAGCATACGTGTGGCCGTGTGTGTGTGTGTGTGTGTTTGTGTGCATGTCAGTGTGAAACTGTGAAACCCGCTGCGGTAACAAAGACTCCGACCATCTGCTGTGTTCCATGTGAGACGGGCGGCGTGAGATTGGGGGGACATGACTGCAGCTCCAAAATCCGAACGGCCCGCTGTAAAAGGCCGGCCTCCCACCCTCACACGTGGTGCTGCTCGAACCCGGACCCGGATGACACGTGCGGAGGGAGACGGGGTCGGGAGCAGACCACTCTCAGGCCTCAACTAGGGATTCTCAGCGCTCACCTCACGCAGTCTGCAGGACAGGCGGATGATGGTGCCCCCTATCTGTTAATGCTGAATTCATATTCAAATGGTTTTATTAGTCTGGAAAATTAAATGTACTGCCATTTCTGTGGAACATTGCAAAAAGAACACCTATGTCTAATGTAATAGGTAATACAGTCCTCGTAATAATATAGAGATGGAAAACCAAATCTCTCTCTCTAGCATGTTGGCTCAGACAGGCGTGCTCCAGGCGGTCGCGTGTAACAGATGTGTGTTTCTGAGGGAGCTGCGTCAATCCCAGCCTCCCACCAGTCACCTGACCTGCGTTTGGCCCAGAGACCGTGACTGCCTCTTTCCCCCGGATTCAGGGGCGTAGCCATGGCGACATTGCAGATAAGGTGGCGGTGTTACCATGGCGAGTCCACAGGTGGGATGCGAGGGGATCATCGTGGGGGCTGAGAGAAAAAAAATGCTGCTCTGTTTGCAGCAGATGCGACCGGGACCAAAATTCACAGTGTGGTGAGGTGCAGAACCAGCCGGGCTTGGGCCTGATGGAGAATAAGGCGGCGTATGTGCAGAGTGATGGGAAATGTGCAGCCAGATTTGACTTTCAGCAGCCGACGGCTCATATCCCAGCACAAAATCCGCAGGATCACGCTGTAGTGCCGCTCTGCTTCCTCTGCAGAAGCTCCTGGCTCTCCAAGAGCAACGCCTCCTCTTCAATGGAGGCTCCTCCAGTGGACATGTGTGTCTGCAATGGGGGAGTATTGATGGGCGGGGG